TAAAAAAGAGGTTAATAAAAATTGTGAACCATAGATCATGAGTTAAAAGTTACAAGCTAGGGAAGGGATTTAAGTGTGAATAGCTACACAAAGACATCTAAGCTATGTGTTAGGGTAACCAAAGAGAGTGGCTACTCTGTTTTTCCTGCCCATTATTTTTCCATTATTTCCCTTCCCTACAGAGAGAGAGAGAGAGAGAATGAGAATATTTAAGTGTGTATAGGTGCACACATCCATCTGTGTGTATGTATAAAACGGTGTAACAGGCCGGGCGTGGTGGCTCAAGCCTGCAATCCAAGCACTTTGAGAGGCGGAGGCGGGTGGATCACCTGAGGTCAGGAGTTCGAGACCAGCCTGGCCAATGTGGCAAAACTCTGTCTCTACTAAAAATACAAAACTTAGCTGGGCGTGGTGCTGCATGTCTGTAATCCCAGCTGCTTGGGAGGCTGAGGCAGAAGAATGGCTTGAACCCAGGAGCAGAAGTTGCAGTGGGCCAAAATCGTGCCACTTCACTCCAACCTGGGTGAAAGAGACTCTGTCTCAAAGAAACAAAAACAAAAACTGCATAACAATCTTATACTGACCTACATTTCCATGGCCATGCCCTGGATCTTGTCAATACTCAAAGCAACTTTATCTGTAAAATCTCCAGATATCTCATTTGCTGACTAGAATGTCTTGTTTTCACCCTTTTCCTATGCTTTGATCCCACCAAACTGTTTGCCTGCATCGTTGAGGCCTCGCTTCCTAATTCTCCCAGCAATCAGTAGCCTCCTGTTTTCGCTTCCCTTCCAGCCCAGCACAGACCATATGGCTGTTCACATGAATCACACTCCTATAATCTATTTCCTCTGTCTTATTCCAGGGATATTGAATGGTGCTGGAGAAAAATAATAATACAAAGCTCTCAAGGCAGGAGCCCCTCCAAATGTCCCTGTTTCCCTCATGCAGAACAGAATCTTTCTCTTGAATCTCAGAAGATGGATCATATCTTGTTCCCTCCTGTTTCTCAGAAACATTGTCTCTTATTAGTAAATTTCCCAGTTTAGGCAATTACTCTAGATTCAGTATGAAGAGGTAATCAGACAGGGACAAGACAGGGTGCAAGGACAGCGGGAAGCTGTTGTAGGCTTTGCTGGGATGAATGACAATGGCAATAAAGAGAAGTGAATGACTTTGAAAGATGTGTAGGCAGATGAATCACAAGAATATGATAATCAGTTGGATGCAGCACAGGGAGATGAGGGTGGGAGTGAGTGTGAGGCAGGGAGATTTCCGTCTTGAACAACCAAGTGATAACATCTATTATTGCTACAGGAAAATACTTGGAAAGAGATTCATGTTTATATAGAAAAAATAAAAAATTTCATTTGGAATCTGTTAAGCTTGCGGTGGCTGTGAGACTTCCAAGTGGAGAAGGCTAAGAAGTGTTGGATATGAAGTTTTCCATTCCAAAGAAGGTTCTGGGATGAAGGTAGAAATTTAGTAGCTGGTTCCATATGAATACCATTTGAATTCAGGTAGTGAAAGATGTCATCTAGGGAAGGAGAACAGAATGAAAACAGAAGAGGAATTTGTGCTGATGAACTCTAACAATTTTTGTTTGGAAGAAACAGAAAGAGCCATCGATACAGATTGAGAAGACGAGAATGAATGGACAGGAGGAAAAGCAGGGGAGTATGGCAGAGAAGGAGGAAGTGGCCAATTATATCAAGTGCTGTTAAGGGGTCAGATAAGATGAGAACTCCTAAGTGTCCACTACTGCTAGCCACATGGAAGGAAGTTACTGACATCCTCTGAGAGAGTCATTTCAGAGGAGACCTGAAGGCAGAAAGCAGCGTGGAGTGAGTGGGATGGAATTTAAGACTGGAGATAGGAATTCCAGACAACAACTCTAAAGAAATTTGGCTAGAAAGGGAAGAAAATGGGGTCAAAGTGGTGTCTTTTTGTTTTGTTTTATTTTTAATGTGTAAGACATGTGTTTAAATAATGGAATCATTAGAAAGGAAGAGGTGAAAGCTGAAGTAGAAGAGAGACAGGGAGTATTTGTAGTAAAATGTCCTAAGAATAAGAATGGATGAAGAATACAAGCGGATTGTGTGCCTTGGATAGGAGAGAGCCATTATAACTGGAAGGTAGGGTCAAAAGATCTGCTCAGATGCTGGCGTAGTTGCAGTTTTAGGAAGCGCATCCATGGAGCACTTCCTAATGGCTTCTACCGAGTTTATGAAGGAGACCTTATTGGTCATCTTCTGGAAATGGGGGCTAAAAGGAAGAATGGGAGATTGAAGAAGAAGGAAGATTTAAAAGAGGCATTGAAAAGGGAAAGTAACCTAATAAGAGAGACACAAATTTTGATTGCTGGGCAGTGAATGAGAATCCAGTTGAGGTTGAACTGACAGTGGACTGATTTGCCTTGTTGTTGACATACAGCCTTCCACGGGCTCCGTTATTGCTGAAGGCACAGGGAAGAACAGAGTTAGATTTATGGACACTTACAGCTTTCCTGGATGGATGTCATAAGGAGGTTTAAGAAACTGGTAATGAGAATGGCTCAAAAGATGGACTGTGCCATCTAAGCTGGTTGGAGGAAGTGAATACAGAAGATGGTTAAAGAAAAAGTGTATGAGCCCATGAACAAGAGATCATGAGGAGAACAAACAAGTAAGATGGTTGCACAGCCAAATCGTGGGAGGAGACATTGTGGTCGCAGAGTTTGGAGGTCAGACTGTTAAAAGTGATGAAAAGGTCGGGCGCAGTGGCTCCCACCTGTAATCCCAGCACTTTGGGAGGCCGAGGTGGGCGGATCACAAGGTCAAGAGATCGAGACCATCCTGGCCAACATGGTGAAATCCCGTCTCTACTAAAAATACAAAAATTAGCCGGGTGTGGTGGCACGCGCCTGTGGTCCCAGCTACTCATGAGGCTGAGGCAGAAGAATCGCTTGAACCCAGGAGGCAGAGGTTGCAGTGAGCCGAAATTGTGCCACTGCACTCCAGCCTGGCAACAGAGCAAGACTCTGTCTCAAAATAAATAAGTAAATAAAAGTGATGAAAAATCAGGACCCAGGTGTAACCCTGAAGGTGGAGGGCTGAAGTGTGAAGATCAGTGACAATGGGAGGTCAAGGAACTGAGAGGGCAGACGTTCCTCACTGCCCCAATTTGAACAACAAGATATTCTTATATACAACCTTCTCAATGTTTTGCATTATCTCTTTCTTATCTAATCTCATTGAGACAGCCAGGTGGGAAGGGGTCCCCAGAGAAACTTCAAATGGCCTGAGCACTGGGAGGAATGCTCACTGGGGTGGAGCCACAGAAGCTCCTGCTGTTTGCAACAGGGAGAGCCCAGCCCCTCCTTTTCTGGGTGAAAACTGGGATTCAATCTGCGAAGCAGAAAGCATACCAGCAGGGACTCTGGCTTTGCAGAGGGTCCCTGTTTCCATTTTTCCCCCTGTTTTGCCCAATAAATTCCATTTTTCTCCCCCTTCAAATTGTCTGTGAGCCTAATTTTTCATGGCCTTGGGACAAGGACCCTGTCTTTAGCTGAACTAAGAAGAGAGTCCTACAGCATCATTAATGTAGGATTGGAATTGATATTCATCTGGAATTGATATTTATGTATGATGTGAGATTACCATTTTTATTTTCTTCTATTGGATAAGCAGTTGTTCTGGGGCCATTTATTGAATAGTTATTTCATTCCAAAATATCCCTTGAATTTGCTCCTTCCTGTGATCTTTATCTTTTATTCTTTCCTGTCACCTCTATAGGAAGTAATACAGTACCCTTCTGCCTCTTTTCTCTACAGTCCATACTTTATAATTTGCTGTAAAAATTACCTTTCTAAAATACAAATATGACTATGTCACTCCCCTGATTAAAGTTCTTAAATAACTTCTTTTTATTACCTACAGAATAAAAGCCACACCCTAAGCTTGGTATAAGTAAGACATTTCGTGATATTTTTCTTTATAAGATTTCTTTGCTTATCAAATCATCCTCATTTTCTGGAGTTATCACATTTGCATTCAAATGCTACTGTGCAGAAAAATATGTGATTCAAATTTACTTTTAAAAAATATTTTGCGAGGACTATAATTAGAATCATAATTGGTAGATTTTAAATGTTCTAATTCATTTGTCTTCTATGCATTAGATTCGGTAAGTTTCTTTAAGCACTTACTATCTAAAGAAGGACAGAAAGCATTAAGCCAAATATCTGTTAAAAAAGGAAAAATATGTGTAGTGACAGACATTTGAGTAAACTGCTACTGAGAGCCTGATGAGGAATAAATGGCATTTTAATGGAAATCATGGAGGCTTTGAGGAAAAGTTGGCTAGGTCTGTTTTGAAAGATGAATAAAATTTACCAAGCCAGAGAAGGGGATGGGAAGGCATTTTAGATAGGTGATAGCACCAATAAAGTCGAGATAAATGGGAAAGTATGATCTTGGAGAAGAGGAGAAAGATGAGTAGCTAGAAAGGTATTGAAGCCAGAGGGCACAAACACTCAAGCACCAGTTAATAGATCAGCCGTAGCTAGTTGGCACTGGAAGTCACTGAAAGTCCCTAGTAAGTGACTGATAAATTGAGGTTGTGACATGATCAGAAGGATTGGAACTCAGAGAGATTAAACCTAAGTGGATGCCCTACTAGTCTAAGCATGGTATGCTGTTGGCTTGTTCTGAACGCTGGAAAAGCCAGAAAGGATGCGAGAGAAATTTCAGAAGCAGAAGCCCAAAATAGCAGTTAGATACCCAAAGAAACTGGGGAGGAAAGAGTCTAATTCAGCTCCAGAAAAGTAAGAAGTGCATGAGGAATTCCTGCATCTGATTAAGCACCGTTTACATTTGCATTTGCTCAAATGGAATTTCTTATGCTTTTTCATGGCTTTAAAAAATATTTACTAATGAAAATTATTTTCATAGCCTAACTTTATGTCTTTAGATTAATGCTTGTGTTTTTGTGTTCCTTTTCCTCCTCCTTATGTGTGACAGCTTCTACTGGATATGGTTGGGTCCCCTGACCAGGATCTCCAGGAAGCTGCAGCTGGTTGTATATCCAATATCCGCAGGCTGGCTCTTGCTACAGAGAAGGCAAGATACACTTGAACTTTAAATGGACATTACAAGCTACAAAATTCTACATGGCACAGGACATGTCACTCCCATGACCAGGAAGCCTAAATTGGGAAACATTTATTAGCGAATCCTTTCAACCGTCTAAATGAAAACACACAAATTGAAAACACACAGGATGTTTTTCATCTGAAGATTGCGTGGAGACTTTTGCTTCTATTTAATGTTTGAGGGATATGACATGTAATAAGATGGAAAGCCAATAAATCTGTGATAAGTTTCTGTGAATTTGAGAATATACATATACAGTATATATATATAGTGCAGTGATGCTTTTGTATTTGGGTGGTTTTAATAAAGGATACGGCCATACCAATGTGTAGTTTCATGGTTGTTCATGAATGTCTCTACAATTCCCTGTCTGTTAAACCAATCTAACTATCCTGTCATTATGGCTTTGTCTGTTTGATCACTTGTAACCCACGGGAGAGTTCCAAGGAGATGTGCTGATTTCACAAACTGTTATTAAATAGAATTTAGAGTTAAGCAGCTGGACTGAAAGAGATCATCCCAAGGTCATCCCAAATTTCTCCTAAATATTAGCAAACATCTGAAAGGACAATGTATAACTGTCACTGTACCAGATAATGCAAATCACAAGAACATAAGCAATTAGGTTTTTTTAACCCTTGGATTTACAGAGCATAAACAATTATGTTTTATTTCTCACAGAGATTTACCAACATTTTCTTGAAAGCAGTTAATTGATACTGATGTAAGGATAACATGACTTCATATAAAATTGCTTTGAATTTCTGAACTTGTTTTCAGCACACGAAGTACTTTTTAAAAGGTGGCTACAAAAAAACTAATAGCATTTTATCAGGTTATAGAAACATTAGAGCCCACTTAGAAGAATCACATATGTAAGCTCAGTGTGCTGAAATGTTTGGGAACTCACTGTCCTAAGTATTCTAACACTCGCCAGAAAAATTGCTTTGTATTCATCAGTGCCATAAACTGACAATCTCAGTTAATGCTTTAAAAAAGCAATCAAGGAAGTTTTATTGAAAAATATTAGATACTGGATATGTTTGTCATGATTTCAAGATCATAAACTTAATTGAATTAAACATAAATTATTTGTATGAAATGAAAAGCCTGTGCAGAATGAAAATCATATGAGGGGTGTAGATACTCCGATAAAAAGATAAAGCCCTTCTGAGAATTGTAAGATTTTGTAAAAAAACAGTTCATCGTGACTTTTCAAAGGAGGTTCTTTCTAAAAGACGATAATGCAAAGAACAAGCACATGGTATTAATGTCAACTAAAAATTGTAATGTAAATAATAGAGGAAATCCCTTAACTTTCAACAGTAAAGATTTCTAATGTTAAAGTCACCATTTAGCTTGTTTCATCAGGCATTAAAAATACTTCTAGAAACCACGGACTATGACAGTGACAGGAAATGAATAAACATATTGCTGTTGCAGTATTGTTAGAGGAAGCTTCTACCATATTCTCAGATTTTTAAAATGTTCTTGAAGCAATAGTGATCCCAGGAGTGAAAAAAAGCAACAGGTAAAACAACAAAAAGAACTCTATGAATGCTGGAAAGGAAGGATTGTTTCTTGACCACACACTTGCTAGGAGGAAAACTTGGGGCTTCTGTTTTTATGGTTAATAAATGCATTGAAGAAAGGCAATGGTACCATTTTAGAGAAAATTAACATGAAGATTGTCTTGTATATTTCTAAGTAGGAATATTAATTCTTCTTTTTAATTCTTTTTTTAATTCTTAAACACCAGAAATGTAGTAATTTTAGGGTAACCAAATGAGAAGTTGAAACTAAAGGTCCATTTTTGGCTTATTTTTGTGAAATGGCATCACAGAAAACTCTGGTCTTGCTAGAAAAATGTCAAAGCCAGTGAAAACACCCCCAGCTTTCAGAAAACATAGGCATGGATGGTTTCACCATTGTTTTGCTACCCCATAGCGTGTGAGTACTCTTTTTCTATTTGATAGTTTTCATATGAGGTTTTTGTTGTTGTTGCTGTTGTTATATTCATTTTGTGCTATTTATGACTGATAGTCTTAATTCTTTGTAAGTTTTTGGTGACACTGTTCTTTTTTAGGCTCTGTTCTCCCCCAGGACATTGAGGGGATACAGTATGCTCTGTTAGTAACTGATGGCTATTCCAATTTGGGAGAGGTTTAGGTGGAAAGAATTTTAAATAGATATTCTTTGATCTTCCAGTCTCTTTAGTTTGCAAGGTTTTCTCTGATCCTTCTGCTTTTTGTAGTCCATGTTCTTTTGCTAATATCAAGAGGACTTGCACGAAAGATGACTGGTTTCTTTCAAAAAATGTCTAGCTTCTGAAAGTGAATGCGAGGATAGTTTTTTTAGGGCTTGGCATTGAGAATTCCATTATTTTTGATAGAGCTTTATGTTACCATTATAAATCCCTAAGACATTTGCATGGAAATGAGAGACTACAATTAAGAATATTTAGGAAATTTATTGCTATTCAGGAAAATAAGAATCTCAGTTGTTGATAAACAGATGAGACCCAGAGCCACAAGTAAATCCATCCTTCTTTTACGTAGTGATACTGGGTTAGCAAAAATAAAGAAACTTCTCCATTCCAAATAATGTAAAGTATTTAATCTAATTCCATGAAGATTTGGGAATGGAATAGTCTATGTCTATTCCTGTAACTCAGTGAAAACAATAAGGAAACGCACTTATTTAAGAGCCTCACTGCTTTACATTCATTAAATTCTCCCCAAAAACCAGTGGTCTCCATGTACTTAAGTGTAAAAAGTGGAACTCTCTAGATGAGAATGCAGTAGAAAGGAAACTAACTTTTATAAGATTCTACTCAAAGCAAGCATTATATTAGGTATTTTGTACTCATGATATCATTTGAAATACAAGAGAACTGATAAAACAGACACTCTCATATCTGACTAGGGCCTATTTAAAAGGGCATATTGATTTTGCAAGGTCAATTTAGCAATACATACCCGAAGTGTTTTAATTTTGTGTGCCTTTGTGCTATGGTCCAAGGATTTATCTACAATGATGCTCAACATACCATTGCTTTATTTCAATTATGGTTCAATCACACAAGGAAAACATTATAGAACAATAAAATCGTTAATGACATAAAATCCTTTTCAGAATATATTGTTAAATTGAAAATTAGGCTCTGATGTAGCATATACAGTATGAGCACACTTAAAAAATTATATACACATAGCTAAATAATTACAATGAAATAGCTGACTTATCCACACATATTCATGAATACTGAAATAAGAATGATTTTTGTTTCCTCTTTTGCTAATCTGTGTTTTTTCTAATCTATTTCACAGTGAACATGAATTTCTGTTTTTTAAGGGAAACCATTATCAATTAATTTTACTTTTTTTATCGTTTGGAAACTTCTAAGCCAGACACTGTTCTTACTTCCTAGAACTAACTTTAAAAGAGAAGTTCTCAGTTTACAAATGGAATACACAAAACGCTTTTTGGAAATATAAGAAAAGTAGCTTCAACATCTGAAACACAATAAAAATATCCTTAATATACAAAATATACATTTGCAATAGACTTAATCTACAAATAACCATGCTGCAGTATAACTGAAACATGCCGAAGTGGACCATATTAAATTCTGACTGTTCCCATATTTGGTTTTTGTCCATTACACAAGTGTAATAACAGTTCCAAAGATCATTAATAGATTGCTTCAGACAATGTTTTGAGAAGGAAAGAATGATGTGGGCCCATTGATTTGTTTACTTCATCGTAGATGCCTAAGATGAACAATATTGTGATTTATTAAGTCTCTTTATATATTTTGCCTGAAAAAAAACTAACAGAAGTACACTCCCAACCAAACTGTGCCAAGCAATAAGTAAATATAGGACAGTTTCATAGACTTCTGTTCTCCCTTAAAGCATTATGTTTTTCTCCTTTGGGCTATTTCTTTATGCTCTGATTGTTCATTAATTTCTCTTCATTTCAACATTTGTTTCCTTTTTTTTTCCCTCTAATCTCCATGTTTCCAGCTTCTACTTCCATTTTCTCTGACAAATGGTTATTACATTTTCTGGCTCTTAAAATATTTTATGCTTCAACTTCTATAAATGCAAGATGGAAAGTTGATATTTCAATATGTTTCTGATGTATAATTGTCAGGGCTGACTTGAAATCGTGTAACAGATGGAATCCTTATACTCTCAATCCAGTATTTTCAAATTTTCAAGTAAAAGTGACTTATTCTTTATTTGCATCTGTCAAGACAAAAGGAAGCTTTTATTTTGCCAATTCATGTCACCCTTATTTACTAGTTGAAAAAAGACATATTTTATAAATTACATAATTGCCCCATGATGCTCAGAGTTAATATTTGTAATTACAATTTAAAATCATGTCATAATTATTTTTCATGATTGAAATATATATTAGTGTACATCAGTATGGTTCTTATAGACTTGAAGAATCTATAGCTGGTTGGCTTTCCCATAGAGGAAGACTACACATATATCAAAAAGGGAGTCCAGACAAAGGAGTATGGATAGTTCATTGCAACTCCTTTCTCACCACTGGGGAGAATAGAAGCTGTTGTTTGCCATTAGATTAGTTATATAAGCAATTTCAAACCTAAGTTTCCGTAAGTACCAGGCAAGTAATCTAAATAAGAGAAAATCACTGGATTAAATACTAATACTGATATAATTGCTAATTGATTTTTAGCCTCCATATCTGGAAGACAAAAGGGGTTGGTGGAGACTATGGAGAGCTGGAGAATACAGGCAATTACTACTCACCTCTGGATAACCATTACCAGATCTTATAGCTATCCAATAGAAATACATATTTTTTATAACCAATCTCCCAAATTTTAAATACGGTAGCTGTATTCGTCTTCTAGGGCTGTTGTAAAAGAAAACCACAGACAGGGTGGCTTAAACAACAGAAATGTATTTTCTCATAGTTCTAGTGGCTGGAAGCCCAAGATCATAGGGCCAGCCAGCTGGTTTCTGGGGAGGCCTCTCTTACTGGCTTGCAGACAGTCATCTCTTTGCAATGTAAGAACTTGGCAAACTAGGCATTTAAGAAGGTGTTGTCATACACTTGAAACACCAGTAAGGTGTTGTAACTGTGCCACTTACAAGTTCCAAGATGACCTTAAAAATGACACTAATTCTCTTACATTCTACCGTGTGATGTTTACATTGTGCTAAAAGGCAAATGTCAGTTTTCTGCAACTCCTGTGTGCAATGAAAACCTTTTAGAGAGAAAAAGAGGCTGAAGGCCTCTGAAAAGTTTATGCTTCAGCTGTGAGAAAGATTTCTTGGGTGGGA